ACTTATAATTAAAGCTCAAGGACTAAATTAGTATTTATCTTCAAAGTTCATGGACTATGTTAATTTTGATATGTAAATAGAAATGTGTTATAGTAGCAAAAATGATTATTTTTAATATTTTAAAAAAGAATTGATTTTGTAGTAAAATAATGAGTCACGTGACACTTTTGTTAATAAAATGATTATTTTGGTATCAAAATTAAAGTTTAGGGATAATTTTGATATTTTTTAAAGTTTAAGGATTATTTTGATACAAATCTAAAAGTTGAGAGACTAAATTGGTATTTCAAATTTTTTGAATATTTTTAAGTTCATAATTTATTTTTGCACTTTTTTAATTCATAAACTATAAAAAATATATTTTTTTTATGATTTCATTAATTAATCTATTAAATATGTCTATCCATATATCTCTAAACTTAAAAGTTTAGAAATTAAAAATTTACATATATTGTACATTTAAAGACTAAAAATATATATATTTCAACAAACTTAATGGATTAACAGATAGGAAAACAAAAGATATGCATTTTTAAAGTTGAAAAATGAAAAAAATGTAAAAAAAAAAATTGAGGATAAACTTTTTCTAAATTTAAAAATTAAAGGACTAAATTTGACATTTAACCAAAAAATACGTAAAAGACTGAGATATGAATCAAAATTGCAGTGTTTGGGCTTAATGAAGCTCGGTCCAGCCCAGAATTTGGACCAAATTAACTCAACCCATTCAAATTAAGTTTACCTCCATTTAGCCAATCATTTAAATATTTTAATGATAATTTTTTTTATTGGAACTCAAATAATATAATAAACAGGTAAATAAATTTAAAAAATAAAAAATAAATATTTTTATTATATAATTAAAAATAAAAATATTTAATTTTTAAAAAAATGGAGGAGTAATTATTTTGATCCTTCCAAATTAAGGTTTTTTTAAATAAATAACACATCGAAGACCGGTCTTACGTTAAAAGCAGCCATACAAATTTCAGAAATATGAAAAATCCACAAATACGGTACAAACAATCACGTTGAGC